TCAACCATTCGTGCGAGCCATCATTGCACTCCACAGCTCGGCCTCGATTGGCAAATACGCGGCCTTGCTAACTAGCTCTGCCGCTGGTGGCTCCTCATTCTCCTGCTCTAAAGTCGGTTGAGCAAAACCGCTCACCAGTTCAGCGACGTTGACCTCTTGAGAAGCCTCGTCCAGCTCTTCAACCTCCATTACGACCTCGCCATCCTCTCCCTGATTTTCCAAATCAATATGGAAAATCAAAGGCAAGATGTAGTTGTTCACCACCACCGGTGGTAGACTTCCAAACTGGATCGTCATGGGTGCACCTTGGTTGTCATCATCGTCATTCTTGTTTTTTCGATCAAATTTTGACTTCGGCTCCTCCAATTCCAGCATCTCCTCTTCGATAAAGGAGTCATCCAACTCAGCATCGTACTCAGCCTCTCCCGGGTCTCCCTGATCTTTCCTCTCCAGCTTGTTCTCAACAACTTTTCCAGCACCGGCCACAGTCACTTTCAGACCCGCGGCAGAGTTGTCCACGTTCACATTCGCTTGCAAGTTTGCAATCCTCTTTCCTTGAGCATTCTTGCGGAGGTACCTTCGATACTGCGTCATTCTCATCCCATCAACTGTGATGGGCTGCTGACAACAAATGCGTAGGTGTGCCAACCACCCTGTGGCACATTTGGCATCCTGAAAGTTCTCTTGACAGGTGGGGAACCCCTCACAGGTTGGGCAATTCCAAAAGGTAGACTTTTTAAGGGTGGGGCACTTTGAGCAACCCACTCTTTACGTTGCCCTCTTCCCCATGCAGATGCACGTACTCCTTCGACATTGCGTTCATATGAGGGGTACCTCGGTTTTAACTGTCGTGGTCCCAATCTCTGGTGGACCGACTGGCTTGGTCCTGCTCCCCCAATGTTTAGCTTTCCGCGACACTGGGCACACAGCTTTTCTTCCTCAGCTGGGTCTAAGTGTGGCCCCTCCTGCACTTGGGAGGATGAAGCACCCTGGGCCACATCAGAACTACCACTCGGCGGTGGCATTGTATCCACCACCAACTTGAAGCGTGACAGGTTGATCTTAGAGAAATCGGGATTGACCATGTTGACGTCGACAACGTTTGGGAAAGGGTCCGTGTCGACAATCATGGCCTCCTTCCTCGGCTCTGGGAACTTGAACCGACCTTTCTTAATTGCATCCTGCACAACGTTGCGAAACACAACACACATGTTAGTTGAATGAGATGACTATTGTGCCATTTACAGTATCGTTTCCCTTTTAATTTTTCAGCTGGCGGGATAGTATGCCCCCCCCCCCCCCAGTTAACTTAATTTGACTATCTTTGTAAAGCTGGTCAAAAATCAATTCTGATTTTGAAACATCAAAGGAATATTTTCTAGTTTGAATTGGAGCACGATTGGGCTTTCCACCTTGTGGTTCCCCTTCGGCCTTGGCTAGAGAAGCACACACATATGGCTTCCCCTGCACAATCTCGGCCAAATCAACTTCAACCTCATCAACATCGCTGCCGACGTTATTCACACCATAGTTTTCAAAATTAAGAAAATATTATCCACGAGAGCCACTTCTCTTATGTGCTTCTTCATGGAGAAGAGATTCGTATCTAACAGCGCAGGATCAATTGAAACAGATAAGAAAACTCCATATCTTGAAACTTTTTACGAAGTTCAAAATTCAATCCACCCTGGGCAAGTTTAACAAACTCGCGTTCTGTCAAGTTCACAAAACAACGATTTCTTGCATTCTTAAAGTTTGTTAAAAAGTGTTCCACCGTTTCTCCTGGCTGTTGGCGCATTCGTGCCAAGTCTGTCATTGCTACTTCTGGCTCAGAACGGTAGAACTGGGCATGGAACATTTGTTCCATTTCCTGCCAAGTTTGAAGCGAGTTCGATGGCAAGTTGACGTACCACGCGAATGCAGGACCGGTCAACGAGTTGCCAAATGAACGCAACTTGAAGAAATCACTCACATCACCACACTGAATCGTGAATCGTCCAACGTGCTCGACGGTGGAGTGATCTCCAGCCCCGCTGAAGGTGATGAAATTAGGCAGGCGAAAACCACGTGGAAAGCGGTAGTATCTATCAACCCAATCCGGACATGGTTTTCGATATACCGGCGACATCGCTGGTCTAATCCCTAAACCAAACTGATCCGCTAGCATCTGTGCTACTTGATCTCGAATCACATTAACGTCTTGCCCCCCGAGTTGCCCCCCTTGTGCTATGAATCCACCAGGATCCATGCCAAGCCCGTTTGGAGGAGGATGCACGTTTTGCGGGTAACGGCGTGGCGGAACATGATCATTGTTGATCGTTCCTCCACCAACAACACCGCTCATCAGAGTCACGTAGGGTCTGGCCTTCGGGATATTTTGTGGACCCCCACCGTGAAACGGCATTGGTTCAACCCGAGTGTTGGCGGCAATGCTAGTATCGCCAAGATTAACTCGCGGAGTTGATGGGTTCATCACCGGTGTCGGCGGAACTCTTTGTCTTGGCTGACTAATTCGAGCACTGTTGTTTGGAAAACCAGTTTCGCTATTTAAATTGTTTTCACCGTTTAGTGGCAAATCCCTAGGTTGCATTACTGGTCTACCCAAAAGCTCCTTGATTTCATTCATATCACGTAGATTTTTATCCACAAAAACATCAAAATCATGCATGTTTTTAGTCATACCTTCAAAGAGTTGGCTTAAACGCCTATCAACACGAGACTCAAGAGACTAGCAAACACGAGACTCAAAATGCTGATTTACCTCGCCTTTGAAGCTTGCAAACTCGCCTTTGAAGCCTACGAACTCATTGTTGAGACTAGCAAACATGCGACTGTTTTCCTCCATGAAATGGCGGATTGACAAATCCTCAGTCGGCCCAGCTGTGGAAGGCGGATTCTTGGACCCGCCAATGTCTTCAGCATGGATTCCTTGGCCTCCTTCAATGTTGGCCACATGTTCCTCCACAAATTCGGGCGGAACATCCCCCTCCTGATTCCCTCGTCGCGGAGCCATTCGAATACACGGGTCCCACTAGGTGTGCCAATTTTTTTCATTGGCGAAACTCGCGTGTTCAATGCGCACTGTTTTCAAGTAAACACAAAACACAAAGTCAATCACAACCGTCAAACATCCGCCGCCAAATGTTGGCGCCGTTGATTTGATCGATCGAACAGAAACCAAGACGATAGTCAAATATCCACCGCCGGCTTCGGCGATGTTGATTTGATTGATGCACCTTTGACTTCTAATCAAACAACCGTTATCCGGTTCAACACCTCTCCAAACTACGTTCGAACGAGTGTGTTCGGCGAATAACCAGAAAATCGAATCAAGAGTGTTCTAAGTTGCGTTACCTCTACTCCTATGGAGGTTCCTCTGGAGAGCTCCGCAACTACGACAACAAGCTACGACTACGACTCTGCAAAGGATTTCTTTGACATAGCAGTTCTACGAAACTAGAGAGAAAATGATAGATTCTGCGATGGTGCGGTTTGAGATTTGATTTTGCCGTCCTGAGCTTCTCTCTCTTCCCAATCTTTATACTTCGCTCTTCTCCCCGCAGTCGTAGTAACTGCCTTCGCGCCTTTGTCTCCCACGTCTTCATTCCTGTCAACCGTGCAGGTAACCTCCTCCCTGTTGGTTATAATCACGTGCCCCCGAAACCTTTCAGCTACGCAGAAACTTGGCAAAACGACGTTGAGCCAAATCCTACAACCTTGTCCACGCAACGATGCCGTTTCACCTCCATAAACTGAGCGAATAAACCTCCTTCATTCATAACATCGTTCTCATCAATACCGCGGCATCGCTTTTCACTACTCAATGTTGTTATATAATCACAACTCAATTGCCTCGGCCCGGTTTGACCAACAACACCGTTAGCCCATCATACAACGTCGTTTTCTAGTCTTGCGCTGTCGTTGGGCTTGGCGGGCCGCCTTTGGCCGAACTCTTACCCACTGCTGCGGTGTCGTTTTACCTTTCCGCGGCATCGCTTTTCACTAATCGATGCCGACAAACAATATCGTTTTCCATTCCGCGACATTGTTCTCTACCAAACGGTACCGTTTTTCTCGTCTTGCAGTGCCGTTGGGCTTGCCGGGCTCGCCAAAATCCAACCCGCTGTGGTATGGTTTTGAACTGAAAGACATCGCTTAGTAATATCGCGACGTTGTTGATGCCTTAAGCGGTGTCATTTTTAGCTAAACAACAATGCTTGATTCTACCCATGACATCATTTTAATATTAAACGACTCCGCTTCCAGCCTTGCGGTGTCGTTTTCTTCCCCAATCAGCTCCGTTGTTTTTTTTTCCCTCCGCGACACTGTTTATTATTAAACACTGTCGTTTTCTTATCCGCAGTGTTGTTGATATCTCTTGTGGCATGGTTTTTAACTAAACGACACCATCTGAACGCACCCACTTTTTTGTTTAATCTTAACCGTTAAATACATCTAATGGTTACAATAATTTGATTTGTTAATAATTCATTAGATATCTCTTGTAACCATCTGAACGCACCCACTTTTTTGTTTAATCTTAACCGTTAAATACATCTAATGGTTACAATAATTTGATTTGTTAATAATTCATTATTAACTATATTTTATTTATTAAAATAATTTAAACCTATTGATAATTGCAATTAAACTGCTAATTTTAACCCTCTTCTTCCACGTTTCTTTTCCCCTGTTTTCCAAACCCCTATTCTTCCTCGTACCAACAGAGACCTCTCCATTTCTCCCTCACACAAAAGAGACGATCAATTCTTCGGCCCAATTATACATATTGATTCCTCCCTGAAATTAATAAAACAATAGGAGGGAATTATTTTTCATTTCCTCAATTATCAGTTTCTTCCCATATGAAGAATTGTGCGGCCGCGGCGCCGAAGCTCTTCTGCCGTCAGCACTACCACCCTCGACAAACCACTGTCCCAATCGAATATTGCATACCTGAACTCCTCCTCCCCTTCTTTTTCTTCTTCCACATCATCCATCTAGTCGTCGCTGTCATCGGATCCCAAAACGGCATCGCTGCTTGGAGGATCGAGATAATTAATGAGCGCTGGCGGTTGGTGGAGGCCTGAGTGTTGGCAAATCGAGGAGAGGATCAGATCTCGGCTCTCTGGGTCTTTGGTTGCTTCGTACCGGCTTACCAACCCAAGTAGTCCCGTATCCACGCCGTCGCCAACTTCCGCTCCGACTCTGTCGTCAGTAGCAGACATATTAATTAATTAACCTCGATCGATTCTCTAGTACTGAATTTGTTGGGAGTTAGTAATTTCTTCCCACTTTATTATACAAATAATACAATTGCTGGGGGAAGGAATTCGAAAAGCAAATTTACCATTACCATGCCCCTGGCTATGCTTTGCCCGATCAGGACAAGGAAACTATAGCTTGATCCATTTGTTTGACCTATTCATGAAAATAACACCTTCAGTTGGCTCTGCTCTAACAATTTAGAGGTTTCACGAGTCATTTGGAACAAAATATATGGCACTAGGATGCTATCCAGCACAACTTGATGGACAGGTCGTGCAAGAGGAGGGAAGTGGCGGGCTACGGGTTCAGCGTCCACTAGCGGATATTAATGAGGGCCTCAATTGCAATTATAAATAAGTTAATACTGTTTATAATAATTATTGTTGTATTTATTATTAGTTAATTAATTATTACACAAATTATTGTGAAACGTTAGATATTTTCAACGGTCAAGATTGGAAAAGAAAGTGGGTGCGTTCAGTGCACTCAAAAAAGTGAGTGCATCGAAAACACCACCATATATATATATACTCCAGTCCATTTAATTCCCCCGACCATTCTTTCCCATCCATCCATATCTGTTCTTTCTTTTCCTTTTTGGGACCGAGAGAAGCAGAAACAGAATGCGCACAGGGGAGCCCGGTAAAAATTCCAAAGCTCAAATTCTTAAGCTTAAGTGATCCAAAAATCCCGTAAGTAATGCCTAATTCATCTATACATCGTGATTTATCAATTTAGAGCTTTAAAACGAGTTTTTGGTTCAGGAATTTCTTGAATTCCCGATAAGTCAAATTAGGGTTTCAGAGTATCCTGAAGCCGGATTGAGCCCAAATTTCATATACGAGTTTCCTGCAGCGAGGTAATCAATCCTCTAGTTCTAATCCCTGGATTTCGGCAATTATTTAGGTCGGGGTCCAAATCGCTGAATTTAGCTCCGGGCAGGGTTTGATGTGTTTTTATTAAGAATTTGACCCGGAGCCTAGAACTAATATTGACGGGGATACTGCATGGGATATTAGGACGGTCTCGGATTTTAATTCGGGGTTCGTTGGTGAAATTGGCGTTTTAGTACGGGAAGCTTAAATCGGTGTTTGAACGACCAGAATTGGTGAGGGATTACCACGACATACCGGGTTTGTCGTATCACGATAATTATATTGATGCTTAGAATTGACCTAGGTGAACTAGAATGGCATGATTAAGGGTGTATGATCTTTAGTGCTATATGCCGAACCCTGGACTGTTGTATGATATTATTGTCTTGCCCTAATCCTTATGGACCTTGTTTATGCTGATGATTGCGTATATGTTGCAAATTGTGGGCTTGACTGTTAATATGCCTTATGATGGTTTGAGAAGGTAATTAAGTATGATTTTTCATGATTGTTGTATTTGGATGCACAACTGGGAAATAAACTTCTCTGGTGATATTATGATGTTTAAGGAGGATGACTTGCACGAGGGTTTATCCCGAGGAAGTGCAATTATACGAATCCTTGTTATGTTGAGCCAATTGTGGCCAGGTCAAGAACATGTCCAAGTAATGAATTATGATTAAGCAAGATGAGATATGGATCATGTATAAGGATATCAAGTAAGAGTACTTTGGTCTCATGGTCAACTACATAGTAATTAGGGCTCCCTATACTATTACTCTATTATGATATGTATGATAGTCACACCTCTCATGTGGTGGTGGCTGAAGATTTCTTACGAGATATGACCACACCCAGAGCGGTGTCGGGATATGACTACACACATAGTGGTGTGGGGTATGTATGACCACATCCGACGGGGTGTTGAGGTATGTATGACTACATCCGACGGGATGTGGGGTATGTTTTCCGGGAGAGTTATTAGCATGGGAGTAGCCAGGCGCCTATGATTAAAACATGATAAGATGCATATGCATAAGTCAAGGTGGTTGATTCTTTTGCCTATTGGGATGTCGGATGGTTGAGGTCTGATCCTAGTGCTTTGACTTGTTTGCTAGATGTATGGTAGGGGTATGCTCTGTTATGAACTCACGATGCAATGATTGTCTCACTCAGCCATGAGCTGACCCTCTTTTATTCTTCTTCTCTGCTTATGCTATGTGTAAGCAGATCATCAACAGCAACAGTAGATAAGTGTTAGGTGGGAGAGGAGATAGAGTTGAAGCCAAGATGAGGTATGGTCTTCAACTATTCTGTGCTTGGACAACTACTCGGGATTTTGGCCAGTGATCCACACCTTTTTGTAAAAATGTTTTGAGAACGTTTTTCATGCGCATACTAGCTTCTGATGTAGTGTGAGATATCCACAGGTGTGGAAAGTTGATGATATGTGTATATGTTGTGTAACTGTGTAAGTTGTGACGATTATGGTATGTATAAGTATGGTATGCAGTTGTGGAGTATGAAAAGTGTGACTATGGCTGAGAAAAGCCAATGCATATGGTTGTGAGTATATATGTTAGTAATGAATTATTTTGTAGGATAAGTTGCAAGAACTGTTAGCCCATTACGCGAGTAATTCATGTCAAAATTTTATTAGGGTAAATTTTGATAATTAATGTAACACTCGAGATTAATTCCGCTGCAATTGTATGAACAATATGATTAGGCAAAACGTATAGGGTAGCGTGTTACATTATCCGGCCCTCACTAGTCAAACTCGTGTGTTGACCAACGACATCATTAGCGCCAAAACGGCTTCGTTTGCTTTTCCTTTCGCGACATTGTTTTTTATTTTAAACACTCTTGTTTGCTAGTACAACGGCACCGTTGGGCATACTCACGGTACTGTTTTGAATTAAACCACACCGCCTAACATAATAAAAAGAAGCACCAATGTATTAAATTGTCGCGATCTTGCATGTTTGGGCTGGGCGGATTTTTGGGCCAGTCACTTACCCGATATGGTTTTTAATTAATCGGCACCGCTTATCAAGGCCTCGCGCGACATCGTTTTTAAATCTGCGGTACCGTTTTAATTCTCCGCGATGCCGCTTCTCTCCATGCGGTACCGCTTCTCCCCTTCCGACAAGGAATAACAATAATAATAATAATAATAATAATAATAATAATAACTCTTTTTCCGACACCAATACCAAAACGCGTGACCCCATCTTGTTTTTCGGCGATGTCGTTTTCTGTGTCGTGGTACCGCTGAGCTTCCTTGCGGTACCATTTTTTTATCTGCGGTATCGTTTTAACTTCCCGCGATAACGCTCAACTCCAAACGACACCGTTTTTTACCCGCAGTATCGAATTAAATGCCGAGACTAATTAATGTGGCATTTAATTCGGGCCAAATTAATTTTAGGTGTCAACACCTTATCTCCTCATTTATTGCCCAATAAGCGAAGTAAAAGCCCGAAACGACCTTCGAAAATGCAGCAACACAAGTGAGATGAATCCCAATTTCCAACTGCGGCCACCACTTGAAACATCCATATCTATCTGTAGTTTCCGAATGTGGAAGGTTGTTCTGTCTTAATCAAAATGATGATTTGAAAAGTTGTTGTTGGCTGGTCACTACATGATGTGAGTCCCAACATCAGAAGAACCTCGGCCAGAAATTGTAAATTCTCCGAAGGGGGAATTTGAGTGAGTGACCGAGGAATGCAATCAGAGGCACCCTGGGCAGTGTTGTTAAATCCCCGACCAGGGATTGAGATCGGGGCCTGACGAGTTTAGTTACCTGTTTCTTTTAGGATTCTTTTTCATTTTATGTACTTTCATTAATTTTATTTTCCATACCTTTTTAAAGGGTTGTAAACTTTGATTTGAGAGAGACCACGTTTAATAGAAAACCCATTTTTGGTTCATTGAGTTTTTACTCTTGAATTTGATCTTGGAAATTGGTGGACTCTAATTTCTTGAGTGTTCGCTTTGTATCAATCAAGTAATCACCTTGATTGTGGCTGAGTTTCGACTGATATTGATAGAGCCTTCTCCCAAGTGTGAGATTTGACTTCAATCCGTCTTATCCTTTTTATTTTTACGTGATGTTGAGAGAAATTCAGAAAAACATAAAAGATTGTGTCTCATTTACAATTTTTAAAGATGTGTCACAAGTCCTTGGTTCAATTTTCACAATGACGGAATTCATATTTTTCATCAAAATTGCGGACAGAAGTGTGCGAGTTGACACCGCTTCTCCTCACCTAGATTAGTGACAGACGGTCTATAGAGCCGTGTCGGGCCTAATATTTTTGGGACCCCATTGGATACTATAGGCACAACGTGGCACACAAAAAGATTTCTTTTATTGAACATTATTTAAATGAAAAGGTTCAAACTATGTTCGGGTATAGACTGGGCTGAGCACATTTAAAAAATAAATTGGCACGACACATATGAGATAAATAAACGAGTCTGAGGTTGGCCCGTATCTAGGGTTGAAAATGATCCGAGTTGAGTCGAACTTTATCCTAGCTTGAGCTCAGTTCGTTAATAAACGAGTTGAGCTCGAGCTTGAGTCATTTATTAACGAGCCTAGTCGAAATCGAGCTAGACTTGTTTACTAAAATCTTGAGTCGTATTTGATAATTCATTTTGTATGTCATGTATGATACATGTGATTTATGTCATGATGAGGAAAAAAATAATAGTCAAAATCATGTTATTTAGTTAATAAATTTTAACTAGTCTGAATCATGTTATTTCATAGTATTGAAGCAATCTATGATGCATAATTTCTTTTTAAAATAAAAAATAAGATATATTTGCTCATATGCTCGCCGTGTTAAACTTCATATAGGGTTAGATATATAATTTAATATTCATATGGATTAAACTCGTAAGATATAGATCGATTTGCCCATAAGTCGGTAATCAAGTTGGTTCTTTAGCAACAATGTTGAGACATCTCATGAGCTCAAAATGAGCCAGCTCATGATTTTAGCTCAACAAACCACCGAGTCGAGCTAGCTTGCGAGCTTCACGAGCTAAACAAGGCTTAGCTCATGCTCGGCTCGTTAATAAACGAGTCAAGTTTCGAATGAGCTTTTTTTGAGTCAAACTTCGAGCCCCTCGCGAGCAGCTCGGCTCATTTGCAGCTCTACCTGTATCATGTTGACCCAAACATAATCTCTCAACGTATAATTGTGTGGTTTAAGTTTTTTTTTTATTAAAAATATTTATATATTCTCTAATTTTAAGTAATTCGATGTCTGGTGAAACTATTTAAGAAAAGTAGTACTACTATCTAGGACTGGATGTCGGTCGATTTTCGATTAGCCGAACGACTGGGAAAATGCCACCGAACACCGAGCAACCCTTCCCGTCGGTTAACTACCCAACCGACCATATGGGTATTTTGTTGTGGTCGCGGTTAGCAGTGTATCCGAGAAACGATATGCGGTCGTCTTGGAATTACTCTTGGATGGCTTCTTTGAGTCAGGTCCTGGAATCACTCATCAACTCGAGGTGCAATATGAACATGAGAACGTAGAACTCCATCCGATTCAAAGCATCGTCGCCGTCCACATCCCCTTCCTTCACCAACCCGACGATCTTGTCGTCCGACAAGTCCAGAAGGCCCATTGCAGAGCTCCCTCATCAAGCCTTCCCCGGGCCAACTTGTCGGCCATCACCACTAGCAGATCTTCGAACAACTTCCCGACTCTCGTCGCCATTTTTTGGTTTCGTTGGTTGGTTGGAATTGGATTTGGGAATCAAGAAGTGGGTGGTGTTTGAGGATATATGGAAGAAGAAGTAGAAGCCGCCAGCCACCTGCGAGAAGACGATGGTGGTGGTGGTTGACGAGCGGCACGACCCCAAGGCGGAGGCAATGATGGTGGTGGTGGTCGACAAGCGGCGCGACACGAACTTGGAGGCGCGGCTCGGGGAGAGTAGAGGCTTTTTTTTTCAATTTTGGCCTTTTGGGATTTAGGGTTTGGAGAATCATATGGGGGAAGTTTAATTGAGGTTTGGTTGGGTCGGTTAGCCGAGTAATAGCGGATAATCACTGTCGGTTACACGGCTAACCATCCCCTCCCTTACCTCAATCGGACTTGGGATACGGTCAGTAACCATTGGTTACTGACCTGTGAGTAACTAAATCTGGATATTTAGATCTAACAGGGTCCAGAAAATCCAGATCTAAGAGTTGTGAATTAAAGACATTTTATTTTCCCTATTTTTCTTAATCGGCTCTTATCTTCTTCGTTCTAACTCGGATTTCAATTTTTAGCACATATGTAACGAGTTCGTTGTGCTCTACAAAATGAGATCAATTTTCAATATATTTTGAGAAACTTTATTTCATACCTCCCGTTACCAACTACATATCATATGGTAACTTCTTTATTTATAAGTCGTTTTTGAAAACGTTTGCTCAGAAGGAACGAGTTCATCATGATCTATTGGATCAACAAATTTCTGGGTGAAGAAAATACATGACAAAATATTACCGCACTTTACCACTCTTGTATGTTAGTGGTAACTTGTGGTAAACAATGATGAAAGTCGTAAATGACAGTTAGTATACTTCTACTATCATGTATTCAACCTTCCTACAGTATTGGTATGTTCATATCATCATGGTACACTTTCTTACCATATGGTATCAAATAGGAGCATACCATATGATATTGACTGGTAAAAATGACTCATGGGTCGTTTGGATGGGTTAATTGTCAGTGTGGTATTTGTAGAGTCAAATAACTCATTTATTGTTCATGTGGTATTTCAGTGAAAATTGAAATAAAGTATCTCGTTTGGTTGAACCATGCAAATATGGTACTTGACATGTGATATTTGGTAAAAGCAGAGTGATAAAACGAGTTATTTGTAAATAACTCACTGTTCCAAATAACTAATTTAGTAAAACGCTGCCAAACGAGTTATTTGGACACAAATAACTCACACATATACTCCATCCAAACGGCCCCTCAATTTTTTTTGTTCTAAAAATATATTAAAGTGAATATCATCTTAAAGAGCACAATTAATCAGATTTATCTGTGCAAAAAAATTTAAATTCCGACTTAAAACGAGAGAGAAATTGTTCGTTAAAGATTAAAGAGAAAAAATAAAAGACTTTCCATGAGAGAAATGCTGATGTCATGCTGATATGACATGCTTACTCATCATAAGATTACTGACGTGATCCGCTCCCTCTCAATCGAACACCGACTGACATCATATATCGTCGATTTCGGTTAGCCGGTAACTGGCCGATTTCGATTATAACCAGAGGTTACTCGCTAACCGAAAATCATTTGACCAGCATCTCCTCCTATCCGTGATAGTTTAGGTTCAATTATACAAAAGGTTCAACCAGCAACACGGTAAACCGTTCGCTTTAACTGACCGGTTATCAAAACCATAGCCCGCCAAACTTTCCTTTTTGCTATTGCTCTTCTCTCCAAAGTCCAAAGCCTCGCACCTTTAATTTCTTCCCTCTCCCGCTCTCCGGTCTCCAGGGTTAATCAGAATCAGACCACCAAACCCTATTAAACCCTCTCCGTCGCCGCCATCAGCGCCAGCATTTACGGCGAGTCGGCGACCATGAGTCTAGTAGCAGGTTCCAACGAAAGATTCATCTGGGGCTTCAAACTCAAACCCGTAACCACCGAACAATCCCTAACCTTAGCTCCCCTCTTCTCCTACCCATCCCACCAATCCGCAATCCTCTCCGCTGCCGCCGCCGGTCCAATCGCCGCATCTGGATCCTCCGACGACACAATCCACCTCTATGACTTACCCTCCGCAGCTTCCCTCGGCTCGCTCTACCAGCACACGGCCTCAGTCACCGCCCTCTCCTTCTTCACCCCACCTTCACTTTCCTTCCCCCGAAACCTAATCTCCGCCGACGCCGACGGCTACGTTTGCATTTTCGACGCCGACCCTTTCGTCCACCTCAAGACCGTGCGGGTGCACAAGAAGCGGATCAATGACCTGGCCGTCCACCCTTCCGGTAAATTGGCGCTTTCTGTTGGGAGGGATGACTGCTTGGCGATGTTGAATTTGGTGAGGGGTAGGAGAAGCTTCTACTGCAGGCTTGGCAAGGAAGCTAGCTTGGTGAGGTATGGCTTGGATGCTGAAAAGTTTTTCATGGCAACGGAGGAGAAAGTTGGGGTTCATGAAACTGAAGATGCCAAGCTTGTGACTGAGCTTCAATGCCCCAACAGGGTTCTTTGCGCCGCCCCTGGAGAGGTCTGTTGCTTAAAGTTTCCAGCTTTATCGAATTCCATTTCATCGTTGCTTCTCTTGTTTCCGTTATTTGCGATTCAGTTGATTGGGATGGTAGCTTCTTAGATATAGGAATGAAATTGCAAGTGGAATTGGTCTGAAGAAGGAACATCTTATATATGACTGTGGCTTAGTAGTAGGAATGTATAATTGATAGCTTCTCTTTGATGATCTTAATGGATAGTTTCTGGAGCTATAATGATTTACATTTACTTTCACTTGGTCGCTGGAAACCAAGAACTTCGTGGTAGAGTTCTTTCTTTTTGTTGGTTAATAGCTGTTTATGAAAATTGATACAATCGTTTTTGGTTTCTGCATGTCAGTAGAGTTACTTCTCTTGTTTAAAATTTGCAGCCTTTTGAATTCCATTTCATTGTTGATTCTCTTGGTCCCGTTATAGGCGATCAAGTTGAGTTGGGATTGTAGCTTCCTAGATATATTGGAATGAAGTTGCAAGTAGAATTGGTTTGAAGAAGGAACAGTTTGTATGTGAATGGGGCTTAGGAGTACTGTAGAATTGATAGCCTCTCTTTGATGATCTTCATGTACAGGTTCTGTACCTGTAATGATTTACATTTACAATTACTTTCACTTGGTTGCTGGAAACCAAGAAATCCGGTGTAAAGTTCTCTCTTTTTGTTGGTCAATAGCTGCATATGAGAATGGATTCAGTAGTGGTTAAATTGTACCTCGGCAATTTGCTCTGGTTTTGTGTATGGATATAGAAGTAGAATTAGTTCTACAGAAATATTTCTTTCAGTTATTTTGAACTATTTGTTCCTGTAGGATGACTGCTCTGTCTGGGATTATGTTGTGTGATAGTTAACTTTATGAAACTGTTCTAGTTTCCTTGTTTTAATTATCTCATGTGTGTCATATTGTTAATGTTTTCTTCTGTGTGTTTCACCTTCTCAGTATCAGCCTGTGTTTTTTACTGCTCCTTTCGCTGACCCTGCTTATTGCCTCATGTGCTAAAAATGAAGGAAGCGAAATCGTGTGACTGCAAATAATGATGATTTCCTTCCAATTTCTTTGAACGGTTTGAACAAGATTCGTCTGTGAAATATGTTTCTGATAGCTCTGATTTAACTTTCATTTGCTCTCTCTGCTAACTTTTCATGTGGAGTCATTCTTGTTTGTGTTTCTCTCTTGATCGTTTGTGGCCTTCAACAGAATGGGCTTCTATTCACTGGTGGTGAGGACAAGAATATTACAGCATGGGATACTAAAACTGGGAAGGTTGCTTACTGCATTGAAGATGCTCACAAATCGCGTGTGAAAGGTATCGTAGTTCTCACCAAGAACAATGGTGGCGTCGATGACCCCTACCTATTAGCGTCAGCGTCCTCAGATGGTGTTGTGCGTGTGTGGGATGTTCGTAACTCCATGAAGGAAGAAAAGGCAAATCCACTAGCTGAGGCAAGCACAAACGCGAGGCTTACATGTCTTGCTGGGTCATCAATCAAATGTAGGCGATCTCCTGTCCCGTCATCTTGTCGAGTAAAAAAATCGATTTCATATCTGCTTAACTTTCATCAATAACTGCTTCTTGCTTCTTGCGAAACCTCTCTTTAATTACTGTTTCTCATTTCTCACTATGAGTTCACTTCTTTCGATTTGCAGCTTTCAAACGAACGCGAGCAACATCCCAAGAGGACCAAACTGCTGCGCTGAAGAATCCCAAGAGAAAATCCGACTCAACATCTGGTGAGGAATCGTAAGCTATCTCCATGGCCATTGAAGTTGGTGAACGTAAGGGTGATGCAACGATAGCGTAAGCAGAAAACGGGAAATTGGTCCAAAAATGACATAATGGAAACAAGGAAGAAAAGACAGCCCATATGATTATGAATGAATGAAGTGGTTGCCTGCCTCTCTGCCTGCTGTGCTGCCAGAAACGAATTGCCATCATTTCAGTTTCGTCCTCAACTTTTATTTTTTTCATTTTATGTTGTTTGCTAGAACTGAGGAAAGCGATGGGTAATCATTTTCCATCACTTTCGCCTTTTCTTTGCTCTTGGCCTTGTGCCCAGGTCGTGGTCCATTAGGAGAAAACCCCCCAAAAATAGAGTGAAGATTTTGTGTATAAAAGCCTTTATTTTATTTTATTACATTTTCAATACTTGGACTAATATTGGAAGCCACAAACATATAACCCCAGAAGTAGGGGCAGACCCAAAATTCTTGATGAAGTGTGTCGGCCGATAAAAATAATAATTTTAAATTACGCAATTTCATTTCTTTTTCACTGCTATACACAAAGGTTTTTCATATTCCGAAATGTTTGTAAAATATATTTATTGCTTATTTTGTGACTCAGTTTTTAATGTATATAATTAAATAATTATTCATAAATTGTTCGCTCGTTAGATTCCTAAGATTGTTCTTAATTTACTTTATTGCTAAAATAGTCCATTCACACAGCAGCTTGTAGTTGCAATAGGTAAAGTCAGTACAAATAACTAAATGAATGCAGGTAAAAGCGCCATTGCTCGTGCATGCATGCACTTCCCATTCTCAAGAAGAAAGCATTACTTAATTAGTTACTTCATTAATTATATTATGTATATATATAATAAAATGCATCAAGAGCTAGCTAGCCAGCAGTGGTCACAGCCATGGACGACTGACTGCTCGGGATCTCATCATCATTATCGTTATTCCCATGGAGCTAGCTAAGCCAACAATGAATTAATCAGTACAACTAACTAATTAAATCATCATCTTTGATATGCTAAATTACCATACATATACGTACATATAGTAGGTAGGCTTATTAATTATATCTTGCTTAGACAGACACTGCAGATTAATTAGAATGAGGTTTAATTTGGACACCAATCATCAGAATGGGCCTCCTCCGATGGCCGGAGCCCAATAATCTGCTCCGACGACCTCGCTTCCTCCGACGAGTTGCGTGCATGTCACCGGAACCAAACATAGCCCTCTGCTCCTCAAGTCTCTTGGCTTCACTTCCTGCTTCATTCATGATGTTGTAATAATTTAATTTAGCTTAAATTCAACAAAAGTAAGATGGCAATGGTAGCAGCAAAAGAGCTGTAAGTCAATTGAAGGAGAAGAAAGGTTCAATGCATATCCACAAAGTGTTACGTACGTGAAGAAAAGGAGGAGGTAAAAAGAGAGGTTTGAGAGGGGCTCTGTCCTCCCTAATTTGCTAGCTTTTTGTAGTTTCGCTTTCGAGCTTTAATTTTCTTTTTTTTAGCTATATATTAGCTAGGTAGGTGATCATTGACACATTTAACAAAACTAGCTGGACTGTTTTTTTTTTCCAGTTAAAAGTAAGGGTTAATACTTTAAAATGGGTCGAACTTTATGCTAAAAGAATAATCTGGTCTGATTTTTTTTTTTAAATATTAATCATCACAATTTTACACGATTTAGATTACTTTAGCCGGGTTCTTGAATTTCCTTCAAGTTAGATGATCAACATATTTGGTCTTTAGCGCTAATATGGATGCCATGTAGACAATAGAAACTAATAAAAATTTTAATAATTTAATAAAAAATATCGACCTTCTAAATTTTTTCATAATTAGTTCAAACCACCAAACGACCAAAAAATATGCTCCTCTTTGACGAACTATGATTGTTGAGTTAATTATGATAATAGGTGATTCAAGCCACATATGACATATTACAGGTCATTTGGATGCATCATTTTGGTTCTATGGTATTTCGAATCCAAATGATGCATTATTTTGTTATGTGGCATTTCATGTGGTATTTCATTTTGAAATGTGGTAATTGGTGTAATTGCTTTGTTTGGATAAAACATTCAAATATTGTGGTATTTCACCACTTAAAGAAGGGATGAAGTGGAAAAAGAAGTTGGGAGATGAGGTATTTGAAATAACTAGGGGGTAGGTAGGTCTTTCAAATAACTCACAATGAGTTATTTCAATTGACTCATGGACAAAATACCACATTCTACTTTACTTTTGCCAAACGAGTTATTTTCATTGAAATATCTCATTCTGAGTTATTTCGACCAAATTACCTCATCAAAATACTGCATCCAAACGACCTTAGTTTATTTTCTAGTACTCTAATAGTTGGTTTCCTATCTACTTTAGACTCAGAGGTACGAGCTTATAGAAGATATCCTAACAAGTAATGGGAATTTATATTGAGATATGATAGCGATTTTTTTTGTCAAAAATTAACATCTTTACTAATCTTCGAACCTAACAAGCTTTGAGTGGCATCCATAGAAAATCTTCTTGTCTTTTTAAGAGTTGGTTTCGTTTAATTTTGCACCCGATCCGATCCATAGACTCAATGAACTTTGGAAATAAAAAAACATGCACTTTATACCTAAAAGGGAAAAAGAAAGATAAACAAACAATATTAAAATCGGCAAAATCCAACAACATTATTTTATTATTTGTAATGATCTTCTAAACGAATTCTTTCATGATTTTGAAACATCTCAAAGAAGAAACGATAGACGAACAAACACAATCAATAGGATGATCTGCCCCGATCGATTTTGTACTGACATCCTCAGGTGAACCTGCCTAACTACGATATTGACCCTTATGAGCCACAATTATTTGTTCATAAGACTCCAAGTGACTTTTACCACTCATGGATCGATCCATAACTATATAAAGTGGCGTAGCCAGACTTTGAGTACACAGAGAGGTCCTTAAAAATTCAACAACACTATATAATTCTATCCAATGAACTTTGAATTGAGTGGGAGTCCTTAGGTGAAATAACATTGACAAAAGTATGGAGTCCTAAACTTGAAAAATCATACTAAACCATATTTATTTAAAGGGTTTTGTTGTCCGATTTTTTGTCAAGTGGGGTCCACCTCCCTCCGCCACTGACTATGTATACTTCTTGGTGAAAGTATGGTCCATGAAACCGTACTGTATTGGCGGTTCAACCACGAAATACCAGAATCGGCGAGGCTAAACCGATAGGCGGTATTTAACGGTCCTAACAGTTAAACCACGGGTTTTTCATAAAATATCCTACCGCTAACTTTTCCGGTACGATCTCCGGTACGTTTTTATGGACCTTGGGTGAAAAGACGTTGGCCTGTGTCTTTGTAGCTAGTGTTTAACAAATCCCACTAACTTATTGATAATAACTACCAAAGAGCAAAGAGTACAAAGCTTATTTCCAAAATACATACATGTAATTGTTAGAAATCTAGTGATATATAGTAGTAAACTACAAAATAATTATCATCAATAGCAATAACAAGATAAACAGTAAAAATGGGTTTCAGCTTAGACTTACAGCAGCATGTTGGCCTGTGATATTGTTTGAATGTGAAAGTGAAGCAGCAGCATTATTAGTCCCCAAGTAAGGAGAGCTGAGAGCCTGCAATTCCAATGCAATGCATGGGTCTTTTTTCAATATATAATTGTTTGGCCTTTAGCTATGCATGCTTCTGAGAATTTCTGACTACCTTGTCCTCCAATCTATTTTTATTTACTTCATTTTTTTATATATTTAATTTCCTATGAAAAACCAACAAAAAATAAATTTCTGAAAAAGAAGGAAAGGTAAGTGTGTTCACTCATAAATTTTTATATATGTATTATATAAATAATTAAATATACCTATTTCATTTATTTTTATATTCAAAATATACCTCAACTTGAGTCTGGAGGAATCTGATATACCCAATAGCTTCCAGCAACACAGAAGCTGTGTCAGTCTGCAAAACAAAAAGAGCAGCCAAAAATCAAAACGCCCCTCTTTCTTTCAACAAAATAATATATACCTCATTAAATAAAATATATAAAAAAAAAACTCCCCAAAATATACCTCCAAAAGAAAAACAAAACATATTTATAAAAAGAAGAATATTTACAGGCAAAATATTATGAATAGTTACCTTTCCAAAAGGGGAAACTAACTGATGGAGGGCTGTGATTCTATCTCCCAACTTCTCCTTCCTCACCTGTTTAATTTCCAGGGTTTTCTTCTCATTATTATTATACAATATATGTGAATGAAATTCAGTGCCCACTAAAAGAGTAACCTATATCTAGCTAGCTTCTTGCTTTAATTTGATTAATTTACTGGAACATAATATAGCATTATATTGTTACCCCAAAAAAAAAAAAAAGATGAAAATAAGTGATGCTGTGAAAGTGTTTGAGTGGACAGCAGAGGAGAGGACTGAAGCAAGAAAGAATATATCAGACATGCTCATCAAGGCAACAGACAATCAAGAAAGACACATTATATATACCCACATTCTCACTGTCTGTTAATTGTTAATTATACATTGCTGGAATTAGTACTAATTAATAATTACTCAACTAATAAATTTGGAATGATTAGTCTGGATAATAAGCTTAATGATCATATAACATAATTAATCAATCACCTTTAGAAAAGGTTGGCTTGATCTTCTAGATGCCTGCTGCTGCTGTTGATGATGAGGAAGAGGAGGAGGAACCCTAGCCTTCTTATTATAATCACACACCACCCCACCTGTTTTGGCTGTTCTGCCACACTTTGTTATAGGAAGAAAAGAAAAAGAAAAAAAATGTGGTTAAAGAAAACCAAATATTAGTTTGGTAAAGTTTTTAGCTTTTCCGTATTTTGAGCTCACTCAAATATTAACAGTCTAATTAAACACTTATAGTATTCACGTACCTCAGACGATATTGAGTGATCAGGATGTGGATGATCAATCGTATTGCGATAAGAAGAGAAGTCCAGCATGGATTTGGCTGTAGTTGTAGTAGTAGTGCTTACATCACAACAGGAAGAAGAAGAAGCCCTAAATGGTGAAGAAGAAGGTGGTGGTGGTGGAAAAGGGATGTCATTATTATAAAACTGGTGGTGGTTATTGGCATACATTAATAACAAGTTGTTGGTTTCCTGATGAGCCTGGGGATTTAGCAGTATCACTTCTGGCTTAATATTTGGTAAACCAGAAAGTGGTGGGTGAAGAAGGGATGGGTAATAGGAGTTGTTGCTCAAGCACAACTCCTGGTATTGAAGCTGATCATCTTCATCTTTTCCTTCTTCTTCTTCTTTGGCCTGATCATGGCTGCCAATTCTCCTCCTCTTTGTGGCTTCCTCTTCTTCTTCTTCTGTTGACAAACCACCTCTACTGCACAAACCCAAGTTCAGAGATTTGATATATATATATATATATATATATATAGTAAAATGAATCATGGAATGAGAGTTTAGAGAGAGAGAGAGAGAGAGAAAGAGAGTATTACAGAAGGAGGTGGCTCCATGATGAGTGATGACCATTAATACTGCTACTACTACTCATAAGCTGGTGTTGTTGTTGCTCATCATCATGGTGAGGAAAGCAATTCAACATCAAATTAGGGTAACTAGAAGCAGCAGTATTAGTAGAAGCTGAATTGGGTAGCAAATAGCTATTAGGAGAATCAGAAGTCTGCTGCTGCATAATGTTGCTCAACATCCACCAGCTGCTGCTAGGGTTTCCTACCATGGATCATATGTCATGAAGCTAACAATCAAACTAGCTAATGAATGATGGGATCATGATGATCAGCTGATAGCTAGCTGGAACTCCAATTGGAAGCTGATCATAACATAAACAAAGAAAAACCAGCTGCTATATAAGGTCAGGCTGATCTTGTTCAAGATCAAGACTATGATGGAAAAAAAGAGAAGCAAGCATTCAAAGCTCTCTCTCTAGCTCCATGAAGAGGATCTAATATCTCTTCCTTTTTTTTCACTTTCTTGGCTACTTTCCTTTCTTCACCTTTCCTGATGATGATGATGAAGTTACTTACCTACACCCTCCTCCTCTCCTCCCAGGCCAGGGTTAGCTTTTGTGTGTTTCTTTTGAGAGAGAGAGAGAGGAGGAAAGATGGTCTTCCCTTTTCTCACAAGAGGTTAACAAAGTTTGATGATATTTGTATGGCCTTTTCTTTATTAACCCACCTTTCTCACTTTCCCTTTTTCTTCTCTCTTTGCTGAAAGAGAAAAAAATATCATCAATCTGGAGAAAAGAAATTTTTTTAAAAGGGGGAGGTTAGGCTAGCTTGGGTGTGTGGGGTTGGGGAAGGAGCCTCTGCCCTTGTCCCGCAGTATGGTTATAATAATAAGTAATAACCAGCCTTTTTTTTTACAATGATTAACAACTTTTACTCCAACGAACGAAAGAAGCGCAAACTTGGTTACATTCTTAGAGAATATAAGAAATGAGATCAAGAATATTAATCCAATCATCAGGAAGCGAAGCTCGTGCTTTTGATCTCGCAATCCAACCAACCTTTTCATGACGAGAGATTTGTCGTTGAAAGTAAGATAGGCTTTTAATCTTCGTTGTAATTATTGGCTCTTTATGGTGAGAATTACACGAGTTTGTGTCTTAATTTGTAAGTAGTATTGTGAGCAAGTGATAAAAATGATCATGTAGGTTTGGGTCAATAACAAGTAATTGAAATCTAATTTATCAATTGTATAGGATATATACAAAACAATCATTTCGTCTCTTTTCATCTATATTTTTATTCAGAATTTTCAGCTAGATAAAAGAAAATAACAGACACCTAACCAAATCTAAAACCTACCTCTTATGAGAGCAAGCCAACTAAACATTTTGGATGAAAATATGAAAGAGAAGACATTATTATATCGTTGTTTTATTGTATTGTAATACATGTATATGGCGTTTTTGTTATATTTTAAATGTTTGTGATCATTTTGTTATTGGAACAAGCATAAGATTTAAGTTGAGCCACCATTAACTGGTTGAAAGGACATTATGGCTTATGACTAGCTGAAAAAACCCTGACCACATAAGATAAAATGCCTTAAAACGTAGGAGAGCTCAAGTGCTTTTTGAAATTTGATAGGAAATCACTAAATTTAAATCTAAGGTAACTTAAGATTAAGTTGTATAGCTTCAGAAACTTTAGATGTAAATACATTCTCCAATGCCATTAATATATGTTTCGTATGAAAAGTAATACATATCATTGAAGGGGTTGAGGTTAGGGGAAGTCCACTCCTACTAAAATATGAAATTTTCACAAATTGGAAAATAAGAAATTTGTTCAATGATCTAATATAATTTTATAAAGTGAGTCACTTAAAATAAGTAAATTCGAATTACATGTCACACTTCAGATAATGGTAATTGGCTCAAAACGAGTCCATTTAAAATTCTCCATGACAATTTGTTCTAACCTAATTTTGTGCTGCCAAACGGGTCAATTCTGCTCATCTGTCTCAAAACGAAACAACTAGATCAAATTTATTAGTTAGAATTTCTCATCCAAATGACCCAGTAAAAAACTAGTAATATATTACTGGACCAACCCCTAGTGTCTCACAAATATAGTAGGCTAATATATTACTTTTGTATCTTGTATGAATCAAATATCTATCTATATTTTCTCTATTACAATATGTCTCTTTCATGCTAAATAAATACATTGCACAGAGTACTGCCCTTTTCTAATATTAAGTTTCAATATTTAGTATTCTTTACTTATTATGATTCTCTTGCTTTGGCTCTCCTTTAAGATCAAAGTGGACATATAGCAAAAGCTGGTGGGCACTGGACACTACTGGTACTGTTCCATCACTCCTTTTTTTATCATTTTGTTTTTTTTTAATCTTTTTATCTTGATCTATAATCTGAATTTTCCATCTTCTATGTGTTTTCAATGCTTTTCCTTTTTCTACCTTGTGCCCATGAACAATTTTTTCCCTCTTTAATCTGAAATGGTTTTTTTTCCTTAAAAAATAATGGAATTCTTACACTCGTCTCATACTTGTAACGAGCTATTAGATAAAAAGGTAAGACGTAGGTTGTCAAGAATCTGAATTTAATAGGGATGAAGAATAATATAGACCTAAAAGTTCATAACATAATTATTTTGGAGGTTGTAATATCAAGCAAATGAAGTGACTTTAGTGAAGATTGAGAGATAATATCTCTACATAGAGTAGAGTGAATTCAAATATGATATTCTCTATGTCAATATATGGTAGATTCCAAAGGACCTTCAGATTATATATAAGAGTGCGTATTCTTGAATCATCCCTAGGAACAGTCTAACAGACAACTGTTACGATGCCTTAAATATTTGTTTGGGTTTTCTCTTTTTTTTTTCCCGGTTTTATCCTATTTTGTTTGAGTTTCCGTTTGTGCACTTTTTGATCTTTTCTGTTCAAGATTGGGAGAAGTGCTCTAGAAGTACACACTTTAGCACCTAATTAGTAGTCAAGTCAGTCAGGTTAATATGTTCGAAAACTAGTTCTAGAATCCTAACTATAATTTGTACTCTCCTCAAATCAGTGAAATTCCACTCCTCCTTTTTATATGTGAATATTAGCTAGCATACGTTGTGTTAGTGAATCTCGTAAGTCTGACTACGTTTACTTCCTATTTTGTTAATTGCTCGTCCATTATAACAAGTGGTATCAAAGTTGTGATTGGCTGTCCGGTAAGGGTTATTTGAAAAAACAAGGATGGCTTCTATGAACATGAAGATCGAAAAGTCCACAAAGATGAACACTATCAATATATGACAGATGAAAATGCAAGCACTACTGAAACAGTAAGGGTTGTTGACACCAATGTCTATGAAATCATAAGAAAATAGGGTTATATGATTAAAAAAATGGAATATACCATATGAGAAGGCTCACTTGAAAATTATGCAATATCTAGCTAACGATGTTAGCACTAAGCTTGTTACTGAGAAAAATCATGCAATATCTAGCTAACGGAGAAGGCACCAATTTATCAATTTTTGTCACTTGAATTATTGAATCAGTACACATTTATGCACTCTCTGTTAGTCTCTGTTAGCTCACGTTAACTGGTGTTAGTTTTTTTATTGACGTGACTAACAGAATTATCTAATCAACCTATTTTAACAAAACAAAAAATATACCTCACCCGCCACGTCGTCAACCCACCCCATCCCAACCGTGACTCGACCCATCCTCTTGTTCCTCTATTTGATCCAACCCGACCCTTCCTCTTCTCCCTCACCGAGCTGGAATTCGTTTTTCACCCCGTGAAGATCTTTGCCCCTGCCACAACCTCCCTGGAGCTCTGACGCCCTCTCTCTAATTTTCTTCACTTCATCGATTAACCTAATCACGCCACCCCCTTATGTTTCTTCCTCCTTCTTTGTTCCTAACGCAAAAATGGAAGGGGAAGATGGACTTGCCACTGCTGCAAGAATCCTTCCTCGTGCTTCTTGATATTGATCAATGGCGTACGCGTGGAGAATCTGCTGAAGTAACTCGCATACGCTAGCATAACCATCAGAAATTTCATCTTCCTCACCAACTACCTTGGTATCCCAGAATCCTGCATCTGTCTAGGTACCCCAATCACAAAACCCCGCCTGAAATTCCCTTAGTCCACCTGCGATTTCTGCCCCTGCAACCCTTACCTCTATCAAACGAAGAAGAACCTCCGTTGTGGTCATCCACACCCTGGATCTCCAAACTAAATTCCTTCACCAAATTCTTCTCTGACCTTAAATCCTCCGGCCTCTTACTTAACCACCCATGCATCCTCTGTCTCTCCACTAACACTGGCCACGAGGTGATGGCCCTCCAGAACATGGGCTTCGAAGATTGGATTTGGGTCTCCACCGTGCACCCATTACAGAAACTAATTCAAGTCGCAGAGGGGGGGGGGGGGGGGGAGTGAGAGAATAACTGGTCGTCGGAAGGGAGATTCGACGACGAAGGCAGTTGTTTTTTGTCGATTTATTGTCCTCCAGAACACCCGACGAAGAGGAGGTGGTAGACCGACCATTACTCTGGGACCCGGTGGCAGCGGCGGCTCTGATCCCGATTCTTCCCTCCTTGTAGATGCGTGTGGCGGGGATTCTAGAGTTGATGGAATCAATTTCATCGACACTACGACCAGGAGAGACGATGATGGACAGGAAGAGAAGAAGGTAAGGAAGGAGCATCGTCAGTGGTACTTATGTGCAAATAATTTTGGGAGTTATGGTTTTTTCATTCAAGTCATAATGAGGAAGAAGAGATGGTCAGGTCATGGGTTGGGTTGGGTAATGGGTATGTTATGTGGCGAGTTTAATGATATGACGTCGAGTATGAATTTTTTAGGTTAAAATAGGGTGAATCATCACTTCGGTTAGCCACGTCAGCAAAAAAGTGACGGTGTTAACGGAGACTAACGGAGAGTGAACAAACATGGACTGATTCTGTAATTTGAGTGATCAAATTGATATTAATTTATTCTAATGACCAAACGTGGCATTTACCCGTTGTTTTTCCTTTGTGTTCAATTAGGGGATGAGTTTCAAATTATGAGCAGATAGACGAAGGACACTTTGTAGGGCTAACGATGTTATCTGCAAGGTAGATGTAATTGGATCCATCGTGATAAGGACACATGATGGTTATGCATGCATCTTGAATGAAGTTAGACATGTCACAACCACTAAAACCATAAATCTTTGAGTCTATTAGGCAAGAAGGATTTCAGTTTCAAAGTTGAAGCTGAAACGGTGCATGTGTATAAGAGCTTTATAGTGGTTTTGAAATGCATTAAGCACGGTGCGTACTAGGTGTGACAATGGGGCAAGTTTCTCTAAAACAACATCATCCACATTTCAAAATCCTCAAATCCATACCCTCTCCATACCCATGTTGGGTGGAGTTTTTTCAAACCCATACCTGCGATTTTCGGGTACCCATGGGTATTACCCTCCCCATACATCCAATATTATGATATCTAAAATTTAACATGTTGATCTTTAATTATAACACTAAACAAACCTAACAAATCACGAAATGACAAAGATACAACCATTTTAATACAAATTCAACGCATTCAGTCCTATAAAATCCATTCATCCATATGAAAAGGTACAATATTATTCAAATCATTCGTCTATGACTCCGACACATTTACTAAGCAATCATTATATAATATAATCTTGTTGAAAAGGAGAAAGAAGTGAAGGAGTGAGGGGATAAATGGAGGGAAAGAAATTAAGATATGGTTTAAGTGACCACTTTATTACATTTCAACTCTTTCTTTGGCCTATTTTACGCTAGGTTGTGTTGTTTTGTCGTATCTCAGGTCCTAGCGAGTAAAGGAATGCATAGGCACAAGTTTCGGGTCATTTGGAGTTCAGTTGGCGATTCAAGATTCAAATTACGGGCATCCCCTGCACAATTATGGGCGTAATTGCCTCTGCCCTGACCGTAAATGCAATGCCGAGCCAAATCCCTGAGAATGTCTGTCGAAGAACAAATTACGGGCAAGAGTGGATTGATTTACGGTCATAATTACATGAATACTTGCAGTGAACTGAAAAATGGGCAGACATGTTTAGTGAAACGCGCTTTTTGGGTGAAATATGGGCAGACCATGTTTACGACCGTAATTCAGCACGTATTTTGCCCAGAATCGGGTTTTTGAGGCAAATTCGAGCCAAAGGAGAGGGAGTCCAGTTTTGAGCAAAAAACAGAGCTTTAGAGAGAGAAAGTACAAAGAACAAACCCTAGGAGCTATTTGGAGTGGATTTCTCACCATTGAAGTCCAGATTGCATCCCCAAGAGTGAAGATCGACATCCTAGAGTAGATTATCCCCATCTTTATGAGTATGACTGCTTTGATTTCTGTTTTCCTCTCTCTCTCTCTCTCTCTCTATGGAGTAGAACCTTCTCTCACTGGGTATGAAGAACCCTAGTTCCATGTGTTAGGAACCTTAATTGTAATGACTTTGGATTGATATACAGATTGATTTTAATCGATTGATGCATGATTCATTGAGTCAATTGAAGGCTGATCATCTTTTCTGGATTTTTGCTGCAACCTAAGATAGATAGAATCTTATGGGATTTTTCCAATAATAGCACATTTTTAAAAAAATTACAAAACTAGCACCCAGCCGAAAAAATTTACACTAATAGCACCCTTTTTTTTTGGAACTCACCTCCAAGGTGCGTTTTATGTGTAAACCGCACCCTCCATGTGCGTTTTATGCATAAACCACACCTTGGAGGTGCGTTTTGCGCCACGTCAGACTAGGAACTGCACCTTCAAGGTGCGGTTTGTGTTTCCCCGGGAGCGGCCTTGGAGACCGCGGGATCCAGCTGAGAGCGGTCACGGATCGCAGACCGCAGCGGTAGGGAGCGGTCAACCCTCGGGGAGCATAAACCGTGCCGGGAAGCTGCGATTTTGACTGGGGCAAAATTACCAGACCGCCCCTGGAGGGTGCGGTCTGATGGGTATAAATACCCCCCCCCCCCTCCCCTCTCATTTCTTCACACCACAACCCATTCTTCCTTCTCTCTCTAGAATTTATCTCTCTAAACCCTCCCCTCCCAAAAGCCTAGGAAATAGTGGTCTGTTGGTTGCGGCTAAGTCCGATCTGCCATCAGAAAACATTTCTTAGGTTTTATCCTCAAAACCCGCCGAGCCTAGCCGAATCTCTGGCCGAATTTCTCGAAAAAATGAGCGATTGGTGGCAAGGAGAGGCAGTTTATGTTGATGAATTTCTAGCGGTACGTACTAATTATTCTGGTTTAATTTTTGTTGTTGTTATAAGCTTTTTAATTAAACTATGTACTAACCTCGTTGTTATTTTCTCGTAGGTTGGGGACGACGTGGATATAGACAACCAACGGTATTATCTCGAGCAAGGACCGTTGGATCCAACCGACTTGTACGACCAACCCAACCATCGGTCAAGGAATGTTTGGAACAATCACCCGGTACATACAATTCTTCACCATTTGTCTTTCTTTTATTTTGCTAATGTATTTAGTGGAATATAAAATAAATTTATGTTGAATTTTTAATCGTGTTGGTTGTTTTCAATAATTTAATCGAATACATAGCGCCACTTACTTTGACTCTTTATAAAGAGATGCACGTCTAAGGAAATGGGGTTTTAAGCAATTATCATATCCTCCCATTCCCTGGGAAAATCGGGTATTAAGAGATCCTCGGATCCCCCCTTTTTCTGTCAAAAAGACTGTGT